GGATGTTATGGTGTTAACATATTGGCCAGATATGGGTGTTATGATGTTAACATATTGGACAGATATGGATGTTATGGTGTTAACATATTGGCCAGATATGGGTGTTATGATGTTAACATATTGGGCAGATATGGATGTTATGGTGTTAACATATTGGCCAGATATGGGTGTTATGATGTTAACATATTGGGCAGATATGGATGTTGTGGTGTTAACATATTGGCCAGATATGGATGTTATGATGTTAACATATTGGGCAGATATGGATGTTATGGTGTTAACATATTGGCCAGATATGGATGTTGTGGTGTTAACATATTGGACAGATATGGATGTTGTGGTGTTACCATATTGGCAGGTGACGCATTTCTTTCTGTGACAACAAGCTGTACCCGGGTTCCCACTAGGGTTAGATTTCTGGATGATACTGTGGACTAAAATGTTTTTTATACTTTTATCGTGTCTATAACTGACAAGTGGGGGTTCTTTACAAATTTTGGAAGTTCTGGGGTCGACAGTGGAGATGTTGAAGTTTTGTTTGATTACAGGTATTAGGATGGCAAGTAAAGATAAATGGTATTCGAGAGTTTGTATACTTGGATTTAGGTGTTTGGGTGTATTGTCAAGTTACAGAATGGGCGCGTTGGGCGGCTTTTTCTATTAAAGACTTGGGGTAGAAACGACTGATAAAGAAATCTTTCATATCTTCACATTTCGACTCGTAATCAATTTGTTCATTGCAGAGTCTGCGCAGTCTTAGGAATTGGGAATATGGAAGAGACTGAAACGTATGACGTGGATGGGAAGAGTTGTAGCAGAGATAAGAATGGGAATCAGTGGGTTTCAGGTGTACTGAAATCAATAAAAGACAATGTTCAATGGAGACGAGAGTGTCTAAAAAGTGTAATCTCTTTGAGGAAACTGTCCATGTGAAGGTAAACGCTGGATGGAAGGAGGAAACGAAGTGTGAAACATGATTTAAGTCGCACAATGGTGTGCTGGTTGCACCAACAGTGTCATCAATATAACGTTTGTAAAGAGTAGGAAAGTGTTCCTTGATAAGTGGAGAAAATCTTATTCTCTATGTAACCAACAAACAATGAAGCAGGACCCATTTTAGTAACCATAGCAACACCTTTTGTTTGTTGATAAAATTTGCAATTAAAGAAGAATCCGTTCAAGGTTAATACAAGTTCGGCAAGACATAAGAGTGTACGTGTGAGGGATTTAGTAAAGAACGCAGATCTAGGTAATGTTTGAGGACTTTCAGACCATCGTTATGGGGAATTGATGTGTAGAGTGTTTGTATGCCCATGATGAATGTATATTGTTCACTACCAGAGAATTAAAAATTGTCGAAGGTTCGGAGTGAATGTGTCGTGTCTTTTATGTAACTAGGAAGAGACGAGACGATAGGCATAAGGATGTCATCAAGGAAAGACGAAATTAATTCGATGGAGCAATTACAGGTGGAAATTATCGTGCGACCAGGCTTCCCTGGTTTATGAATCTTAGGGAGGAGGTAAAATTCTGAGGTTCTGGTATAACTAACAATTAGATAAGTAACATCCGATGGCAAGTTACCTGTAAGAATCAAATCGTTAATGGTAGTTTTAATATTCAAGTTAAATGGCGTAGCGGATCGCAAGTTAACGTGTGGTAAAAATTAATGTCAGAAAGTTGTTTTTCTGCTTCAGCAAGGTACAGATCTTTGCGCCATACTACTATAGCGCCACCTTTATCAGCAGGTTTAATAATTGTCTTGTCGCTTAGAAAATATTAGTGTTCTCTAACAACAATATTAGGTTATACTTTTGTTGGTAAGTAAAATGAAATAAAAGCCAATGTTGGAACATAGTGTTAGCAAAACGCGTTGTATTATATATATATATATATTAGAAGTTGTTAATCCAACTGATTTTTACCAATAATTGTTCTATGAATATGCCACAAATTCATTTCATGAATGATCTTAATTTTGATTGGCTCACAAAAGAACTTACCGACGTTTGGCTGCCTTGACTGCACCTTTCTGCCTCTTTGTTGGTCTATCATGATTTCGCAAAATTTATTTATTTCAGTTAGCTATGAACTATGAGATTAAGGTATACTATGGGGTGAGGGTGGTAGTATTTGCCCCATCATTCCTGACAGGCTATACGCTAGTATACATAATGAGATTCAGTGTCTGTATGTGTGTGTCACGTAACTCTTTCTAAACCGCTAGTCACCCCAACTTGTAAGTCTCTGTCCAATACAACGTTTGTACAAAGGTATAATTTTTCACCCCACCTCTTGAGAAACTCGGGGATTTCCTGGAGTCCCCTTCTTCTAAACCGCTGGGATCATCAACTTCTAAGTAGTGCTAAACGAATTCTCTCGGACTCGAGATTCGCAGAAAGATAAAACTTTTCACTCAAGCCCTTAAGGAACCAGGGTATTTCGCAAAAAAACACTTTTACGGGGATTCCCCGAAAGCCGATCCACATTTGCTTTACATTAGAGAACGTAAATGAGTAGATCTACGAATTACTTTTCGCAACATTAGTTATAAGAGTGAATTTTATCATTAAACTGAAAATATGCAAAATAGAAGTTCAAGCATTACATTTGCATTATAGTGGCCCTTTAAATGTGGGCCACAGACCCACGGTTTCAGTATTATAGTGACCCTTTAAATGTGGGCCATAGACCCACGGGTTTAGCATTATAATGGACCTGTAAATGTGGACAATAGACCACGGGTTCAGCATTATAGTGGTCCTTTAAATGTGGGCCATAGACCCACGGGTTCGCTAATTGTGGCATAATTTATAAGCCGAACGCGGCCTAGTGGTTAGCATGGTGGACTGTGGAGCTGAGGTTCTATGGTTCGCGATCTTTTACGGGAAAAAAAATGTACCCCCCGATTTGGGCACGTTATAACAAAGACAGTCAAATCCCACTATTCGATCTGACAAGTGCACCCAAAGAGTTTGCGATGGGTGTTGTTGAATAACTGCCTTCTGTCTAGTCTGTCACTTCAAAATTAGGGATGGCTAGCGCAGATATCCCTCGTGTATCTTTGTGCTAAATCCAACAAACAAACAAACAAAAAGTTATAATTTAAACCACTGTTTCACTTCAATTTTACTTCCTCAGTATTATAGCCTGCGGTCTCGTGCAAGCCCAATATGCGTTCTTCAACATTTCCAGAAAGACGTACACAACTGTGAAATACTTCAGTAAAATGTTGAGGTGAGTTCGAATTTTTTACTATTGCTCACTATTTTTCAAAAAATATAAAATAATGTTCCAAATATATTGAATTAATACATAATTATAAGGAATTTTTAATTGAAACCATGGAATTATTTTTATTGACTCATCAACTGAACAATTTTACCTACAGGTAACGTACCCTATTGTAAATTACCAATATATATATTTCAATAAAACATTTTTTCACTGTATTATCTTATATCAACCTCTCTAGTAGTTCATAATAGGGATCTTCCAGGAATTTCACAAAAATGCTAATAAAACATACGGGCAAAAAGCATCTGTTCTTGAAACAACACTCAAGGCCTTCTATTTCAATGGCTAAGGCTACTAAAATATTAATGATAGCAACAACGTTGTTTTTCCGATCGTTAGACAAATTCAAAGTTTATCCATTTGTTCTTCATCATAATAGGGTTCGCCAAGAAATTTCACAAAATCTTTAATATAGCATACGTACAAAAACCATCTTAAAACCAGACTTGTTCTTGAAACAACACTCAAGACATTCTATCTCAATGGCTAAGGCCGCTAACATATTGATAATAGCAAAAAAAGTTGATTTTCCGAATGTTAGACAAAATTCATCGATTTGCTCTTCATATTATTATTATTATTATTCTCATTATTTTTGTTTCAAAAGTCTACAGAAAATAGAAAGCTGAGTATATTTTATTTAAACCTGGGCAAACCTACTAAAATAATTATTGCGCAGGCCATAGGACTATTTTTCTGTTGATTCTTGGAAGAGAAGAAGAGACTTTATCAGTATTTTCATATCTACTGGCCAAGTTTCACTTCCAAGCCATTCAAACACCGAAGCCTACAAAAAAAAAAACGACTTGGTATACTGCGTCAAAATCTATGCACAGCTATTAAGCAAACTCCTGCAAAGGTTGTAGGGTTATTTTTAAGTTGATTCTTTAGAGTCGAGATTTTCACCCTCTAAAATTTTCTAAGTTCTTCTTCGCCATCAACATAAGTTCTTCAAAGCCATTACAAGCATCGCAGAAATGTAGAATCCGTTTAAGCACCATTATACTAGTCGGAAATGCTCAGTTTATACTAATAGGAAGCGCTTCGTTTTCTTAAAGTAAACAATGTATATATATGTATAAAAGTGTCTCCATCCTTATTATTATTGATTATACTTTTACAAGCCACTATAGAAAAAACGGCTACGAATATTTTACTGAAATTTGGACACTGGTAATGAACGCAGTATCCAGTATGTCATAGGGTAGATTTAAAATTAATTCAAGCGCCTTCGTTTTTTCTCCCTAAAGAATTTCTCTAAGTCCTTTACTTTCTACCATTGAAAACATCCGTCGTTTTACTAATGCGCATTAATTGGAAAATACTTTGTGCATCTTATAGCGCATTAATTGGAAACTGCCACGTTGAGAATTCATCATTTCTTGAGTTCGCTGTTCTTTATTGTTTCTCAAGTTCACTGTTGTACTTTGTTTCTACATGGTTTTCTGCGACTGTTTCAATGCGTTTGCTAACAGTAGACGATTACCAAATATTTTTCTTCTCTTGTGAGAGGTGATTTTATCAACTGATTTTCGTACATCGCTGAAATTATGTGTGTGTATTCTAGTATTAATTTATTATTATTAATCTTTTTTTTTCTCAAGCCTACAACAAAATCAGTTGGGTATTTTGCACCAAAACGTAGACAGATATACTATATGAAACGCTGCGAATGTCCATGACCTATTTAAAAAGTTGATTATTTTTCATTGAAAGTTGATTTACGTGGCTATAAATACATAATATATGCGATGTTGTTGTGAGCGTCTTCCGTTGTACTCGAAGTTATAGGCTTGAAAATATAATCTCTGCATTTTGATTCAACTTGTTTCTGTACTTTTTGACGATCCCTATTCCCATTTTTAAATTAACTATTTTTATTATCTTGTTTTTAGTACGTGCAATAGAGGTTTAATAAAATATGTATATTAAAAAAGAAGTTGTAGCTTTTGTGTTTAGTCAGTCGTTGACATACTGTACCTCCACATGCTAGCTTCCCTATAGTTTTATATGTTTCCGTTTATGTATGTGCGTGTGTGGTTTTGTAAAATATCGCATATGAATTAGCAATATAACGTACATATATATATCAAAGTAAGAACATCCCCTTCAAATCTTACATTTATATCAGGTTTTAATACTTTGCTAGGATACAAAATACTCCATCTATATAAATCTTGAAAGTACTAGGATATCAAATTCTCTATCTATATAAATCTTGAAAGTACTAGGATATCAAATTCTCTATCTATATAAATCTTGAAAGTACTAGGATATCAAAAGCTCTATCTATATAAATCTTGAAGATGTAATCAATAAAATTACCAATACTATAATTCCCTTAAATATATCATATACACTGTTTTTGCTAAAAACTTATTTAGTTTTCCATATGTTTAATTCAATTCGTTATAAGAAATTAACCCGTTGTTTTGAGTTGCTGACTTTTAAACACAACGCATTGTCTGAGGGAATTAAACGTTCTACAAGTACGAGAAAAATTCCATTAAATTAGCTTGTACGCTAGACGTCTGTTACGATAAATGTATTTGTGCTTATAATCACTTCTAACATATTTTGCAGTCTTATATTTGTTATCATTTTTTGCGTAAACTGTTGATTGATTCCTGTATCTAATATTCGACGTGTGACAGTTTGGTTTTTGGTTTTTCCAGCGCGGTGTGTGATACAATAATCTTTCTCTTCCTTGGGATGGTTCTAGTAAACGATCGACATGTTTGGCAAACAGGATTTGTTCTTTGGTCAACGTGTCTTTGCCTCCTAGTGCGATTTTTCAGTAAGTACGTCTAAATTAGTCAATAAAATACCAGGAATACACTGAAACATGACTTTTATTACTGAAGCTACCTTTTCATATCGCTCCTCAGTGACAAAGTGGTAAATCTGTGGACTTATATCGCTAAAAATCGGTTTTTGATACTACCCATGGTGAGTACAGCACAGATAGTCTATTGCAGTGTTTCCCAAAGTGGGAGCCGCAAAAAATGAGCCGAAAACAAAAATGCTGAATTAATTTGAATTATAAATAAACAATAAGCCCACAAGAATTATGTTGAATTAATTATATGATACAGTATGTTGAAAGGAGATGCTATTTTTTTTACTGCGGCACTGTTTTTCAATCATCATATTATAGTAGTGGGGAGGGTTAAAGCATTTTTGTAGGTTGGGGGGCCTCAAACGTTTTTAATCACATCAAGGGAGTCTCAGACTGAAATATTTTGGGAACCATTGGTCTACTGCATAGCTTTGTGCTTAATAACAGACAAAGAGTAAACCTTTTTATATCTTAGTATATAATCATTCTGGAAGGTAAATATGTATGAGTTTCGTTTAGTCGAGGAAAAAGTTCTGATAATGTATTATTACAGCCAAGAAATAGTATCGTGTTACTGAATCTGATAATAAATCTAGGAAGTTCTAAGTCAAAATATTATCATCTTCATGAAACATTTAAACAATAAAATAATTTCTTAATAACAAAACATAATATTATTAAATATATCTTCCATTTCCTACTCGACGTGTTATTTCAAATTAAAATAAAGCTGAAGAAACCGGATAAAATAATAAGGATAATTAAGTTTTGGGGAATTGCCGATATCAATGTCTAGTTGGTTCATTCAAGTTCCAGAAGTCTTCATCTCTTTAATAAATTAGACACTTAGTTAGAAATGATTCGTGAATTAATAAAGAAAATTAGCCACAAATTTCCATTTGACAAATCCAAACAAACTTTAGTTTGTCAAATATCAGTTGCTATTTTAAATAAACAATGGCATATATATATATATAGACACGTGACCTGTTTTGCGTTCAGTAATCTTCATAACATCCACCATCTAGATTAATGACTGCTGCCTTTTTTTAGTTTATTGCACTTTTCATAAGAAATTTTTTTTAGTTTATTGCACTTTTCATAAGACGATTTTTTTTAGTTTATTGCTACTTTTCATAAGAAAATTTTTTAGTTTATTGCACTTTTCATAAGAAGATTTTTTAGTTTATTGCTCTTTTCATAAGAAGATTTTTTTAGTTTATTGCTCTTTTCATAAGAAGATTTTTTTGGTTTATTGCACTTTTCATAAGATTTTTTAGTTTATTGCACTTTTCATAAGACGATTTTTTAGTTTATTGCACTTTTCATAAGAAGATTTTTTAGTTTATTGCACTTTTCATAAGAAGATTTTTTCTAGTTTATTGCACTTTTCGCAAGAAGATTTTCTTCTGTAATTTTAGGGAACACTAAACGACATTCATTTCTATGTTTAGCAGCTTCTTTAGGATAAAAATAACTGGGAAATATTTCCTCTTGGCAACACGCTGGAAAGCTTTACCGTGATAATTACTCAACTGAGATCTTCTAACTGTTATACCTAGACATTTTCTAGAATCCCAGTTTGGTATATATATATATATAACAACCATTGCTTCCAACAACTAATAAGAGAATGCTTAGATAGGGATGAAATTACATCCTCTGGGAATCGTTCTCATTATCTATGCCGCACGCATGACAAAAGGTAATAGCCTGCACACAATGGATATAAAGATAGGCTTCCACGCAGAAACAGAAAACAATCTCAGATTCAAACTGTGTGTTTTAGGTTACGAGTTTAGCAGTATCGTCGACTATCAAGTTATGAGCACGTTAATATACGTTTTACTGTAAGTGCTTTGTTAAAACAAATACGTCAGCGATACTTTTGTTTCGGCATGAGCTGAGTTCAATCATTTCACCGTGGAGAAGCGTTAACTTGTTCACCATAATAACATTGCAGTTCGATTTTGCGCAAGTGACGTAGTAATAATATACAACATATGATGCTGTAGCTTCAGGCTGTGTTCATATTCGGCCTTGTCTGATTTGTATTTATTCTAGAAGTTTCCACTGTTACAATTTAATTCGGACAGATATTTCGTGGCTGATGATGAAGAACTGCAGTCTGGAGACCAAACTAGTTTTATGAAGCTACATAATGGGCTATTTGTGCTCTGCCCACCACGGGTATCGAAACCGATTTTTAGTATCGTAAACCTGCAGACTTACCAATGAGCCACTAAGGAGCAATCTTTTCGGAAATTTAGCCGTATTAAAGATAACTTGATTGTTTGTAATAACTATACCTGGCCCGGCATGGCCAGGTGGTTAGGGCACTTAACTCGCAATCTGAGGGTCGTGGGTTCGAATCCCCGTCCTACCAAACATGTTCGCCCTTTCAGCCGTGGTGGCGTTATGATGTGACGGTCAATCCCACTATTCGTTAGTAAAAGAGTAGCCCAAGTGTTGGCGATGGGTGGTGATGACTAGCTGCTTTCCCTCTAGTCTTACACTGCTAAATTAGGGACGGCTAGCGCAGATAGCCCTCGTTTAGCTTTGTGCGAAATTCAAAAACAAAAAATAAATATACCTGTACACTGATATCTTATACAATGTTGTAAATAAATTTAAGTTTTTCACCCAGAAATAAAAATTGGGGATAGATGTAAAGGTGTTTTCAAAATATATTAGGGAAAATGGGGCAAAAATTGCAGTTACTAACACTTGTATGATAGCAATGAAGATACTTTGAATTAATATACTTGTTCATAGAAATTGCAGTTACTAACACTCGTATGATAGCAATGAAGATACTTTGAATTCATATACTTGTTCATAATAAACAAAAATATTAGTACCATAAATATTCCTTACCTGATAAGGACAGACTAGTTACCATCTGTCTGAAGATGTATCCCTCATGGTACTAGGGACAGACTAGTTACCATCTGTCTGAATATGTATCCTGCATGGTACTAGGGACAGACTAGTTACCATCAATCTGAAGATGTATCCCGCATGGTACTCGGCAGCAAGTCTTGGGCTAATAACACTAAAACTCGGGTTTCAATACTCGCAGACTTGTGCTTAAAAGTCAAAAACAAACTGAAGATGTAGATCTGATGACGATGTGTTAATCTTACATCTGGTGTTTGCTGAAATGTAATCGTAAAAACAACATCAATCTTATCAACATCCATGGAACCATCAACTATTTAAGCCAGCTCAAAGTTGACACAATCTTTTGGACATCCTAATCCAAATAAAATTGCCATTTATCATGTGTGTTCATTTCTAGGAAGGGCTGAAGAATTAGGAAGTTTAAGAACACTTGACCAAGAATTTCAGAGAATTCAAGTTAAAAAATTCAAGGTATTGATATTTTCAAGCTGAATGGCTCACATGGCAAAACGACTAGGTTAGAGATCTGTAGGACTCAGATACAGCCATACCTAATTTTGGACTACTAACAAGAGCAAGGGTTACCAGTCAGAAGCACTAGTCACTACAAGAGCTTTGTCAAATAACGGAATTAACACTCTTAACATTTATACAGATGAAAGTGTGATACGTGTTCAGCGGCATCGAAACTCGAACTTTACACCTTACAATTCGCAGCCACGCTAACCATTAGGCTACGGGCGTATTCTTAGCGTGACTTTTAAACTTTTGACAACTCATTCTTACATTGGAGAAATTCAAAAATAAAAACCTTCTTAGGTTCTATTTTTTCTCTCTCGCCTGAACGCTTCTTAAAACAACAGTCATATCAAGCTGTGCTAGAAAAAAAAAAGCAAATAAAAGCACTATTGTTGATTTTATATGTTATGACGTCATGCAACTGATATTATATCCACAAAGGTATAGTACTGACTTACTTTAACAGTATTGCTGAAAGAATCTCCAAAAGTTTTAAGAAAAAAGCAACGAAGCGCTGGTCTGATTTTGTTCTCACGCTATGTATGGCTCTCCAGTTATCGTTGAACATACATATCACATCTCTCTTGCTTTGTTTGGGTAGTTTCACATTTCCTGCTAAACATATCGCATAATACACAACGTGGAGATAAGTAAAACAAACTGGCTTGGAAATCTTTCAAAGTGATCATGGAGAACGACGAATTTTTAAAACTCAGTAATTAGACGGTTGATATCCACTATGAACTTAATGCTTGAAATAACACGACAACGTGACGTTACCATTGCATCATCCGAAATAAAAACAAAAATTAGATTTCAGACTGTAAAAAAATATTCTCAAAAACAAAAGTTAATAGCTAAATAAATTTAGCATTTTATTTATTGTTAATATGGTTATTTTTTAGTATTTTTAATTTTATCCTATTTTTTATTTCATCAGAAAATGTTTAAGTTTGAAATTAAGTCGCTAAACTTAGCTCATTGAATAAGCTTACGTAGCCTTTTCGTTAGGTGTTACATCGTGCATGTTTTTGAAGAATTCTTATTTCAATTGTTCACGAAGAACAATCATTTGTCTTTATTATCACGTGATTATTTTCACCAAAATTAAAATTTCTTAAATAATTCTGATTTGATTTTTTCCCACTTTATTTTTCTCATCCTGCGGCGTTTTTTGGAACACTTTCTCATCTCACCCAGAAGTAGCTACCCTCTGTAGAGATATTCTTATACTTGGTCCTGCACAATACGTCAAGCCAATTGTATTACTTATTTCACCAGGATGACTATCCTACATATTTATACGTGAGCTTGCGGGATATTTTTTGAGATTTAGAAGTTAGTGAAATTTTGTCTTTATGGCAAGCTACAAGGGCTAGCAACCGTCACTTCTGACTTTGAACTACAGACCAGCTAGTCAATAGTACTCATTATCCAAACGAAGGGATTGACTGGAACTCTTATAACGCACCTAAAGCTTAAAGTGTGGGGAATATTCTGTGGTATCACACGAATTCGAACCCTTTTCCCCAGCGTCGAATCCAGAGCTCTACTATATGGTCAACCTGCGCCCTTAGCTAAACCTATTGTTCTACACATGATAACGTAACAAATAAAAGATCTCGAAAACTGGTTGAAAGGAGCAATGCTTTGGTTGTACAGTACCAAGCTTACTATAATTAAAGTGATATTACTATGAAATTCAAACCAATTTATTATCAAAACTTTGTGTACGTGACTTGAAGCAATATGTTATTTTATGGAAAATCAGTAAACCAGTTGATTTTTTTTTAATCTCAAAGTGTCCCTAACCGATTCACAACAGTACTTTTGTAACCTTTTTTTGTTGTTGTTTTTTTTTTACTAAACTTAAAAGAGATACAATTGGTTAGGTGATAAAAGTTCTGGTTATCTAAGGAAGAGGATCCCAAACTTTTGAGCTTGAGGCTCCACCAAGACATTAGACAATCCTTGCTAAGACCTCCCCTAATGATTTAATAAAAAATATAAGTAATAACCATTCTGAGGTACCTCACTTTTGTTGCAATTGGATCTTTGAAAAGAAAACATGAGGGAATCCTCAATAGCCGCGGCACTTGAAATTCTTTTAGGCAGGATTATAGTAAATTCATCTTTGAAACCTTTATTTTCATTTTTATTAGCTATATTTTTGTTCACCAGCAGTACCAAGCGTGGGGCGTGCGCATACCCGATTCGATTTTATTACTCATCAGGATCTCTACCAGCCTACCCTCAAATTGAAATTATTTTAGGCACGAGTAGAGTAAATTACTCTATGAGACCTTTGGCATGGTCAAATGTATCAATCGAAAATGTTTGACCTCCTGAGTCCAAAACTATAATTAGATTTCAAATCGGTCGAGAGATGACAGAGCTACGAGCTAAAAGTTTGTACTTCCGGACTCCTGTTTCGGAAGTGAGTTTGTTTGTTACTTCCAATTCTAAACAAAGAAAGTTTGTTTTTATTATTTTGTCCTCAGCTAAGAATAATCAAGTATAGAAGTATCATGAATTCTATAACAAAACTTTTTTGTAATATTCATAATATTTGTAAAGGTTTTTGTTCAAATTCTTAGGTTCCTTTTTTGGGGACCCGAAACATAGTGGAACACTCACTTTGTCTTTATACGCGCTATTAGTTCTGACCTATAATCGTACGATGTAGGGTACGGTTATAAAACTGAGTTTTAGCTCTGGACCACCTTCTTGAAACATAAACTTATTAGAGCTACAATATATGAAAACATGCTAATAAACATAAAAAATCTGTGTTTTTACCCTAAATACTTTTGAAAGATAATGCATCTCAAGTGGTTAACACGTTTAAAGAAAATTAATTGAAGTCTGCAGTAGTGAAATCTTATTAGAAATGTCTAAATTGAAGCTTGCAATCAACTCGAAAAGCTCTCAGTCCAAAAGTCATGTTGTTTCATTCAATACCAAAAAACATCTTTAATACGGACGTTTTGGAATTTCCTTAAATTCCATCCTCAGCGTTAATATAACAAAAATTCGCTCAATGCTAATGTTGTTGTTTTTTTTTTGTAGTTCAAATATTATGAACTAACTTTTATTTTAATATTAACGCTGATAATGGAATTTAAGGAAATTCCGAAACGTCTGTATTAAAGATGTTTTTGGGTATTACCGTGTTTTTAATATAAAACTTGTTGATTATTAGAGAATATTTAAAGAACATGAACAATGTAAATGATATTCATCGTTGGTTCAATATAAAAATCAGTTAAACAGTCGTTCCACCGAACCCAAATGTTTTGATTTATAAAAATGTTTTTGGGGGATTCGTAGCAATTCTGCATCCAAAAGGTATTTGTATAAAAACATTCAGAATACATTTTTAAAACTTGTCTTTCATGTAATTTTTTTTTTTGCGTTTTACTTATAAAACTGTTATGTAACAATAATTTGGCATGAGTGTCTACCTACTGACTTTTCTTGCAAATTATTTCCAACGACTTCATATTATAACTTCTATTACATTTTAATGTAAAAACTTGTGTAAACATTAATTTAGCATGAGTGATTCGATTTTTTTTTCTATTTTTAACACCAGGCGTCTACCTTCTGACTTTTCTTGTAAATGAATTCATATTATAAGTACCACTACATTTTAATTATAAAAACGTTTGTAAACATAAACTTGGCATGAGTGATTTAATTTTTTCTATTTTTTAACACCAGGTGTCTACCTACTGACTTTTCTCGCAAACTATTTCCAACGTCTTCATATTATAAACCTTGAAGAACAATTCATAATGGTAGGTGATAATAAAGGTTCTAAAACTTCAAATATATTTCGTAAGTTATGACCACATCATAAAAGTCCTGTACATTTCGTTAGTAAATAAAATTATCGCTCTTATGTTTTGAAAAAAACAATTAAGTGGAAATGTTTAGCAGATTGACGAGATTATATTTGAAAAGTAATGATTATGCGCTTTATTTTGTTAGTTTTTAAGATCTGACGACGTTGCTGCTTTGTTTCTCATTATCTTTATCGGGTTGTCTCTTCAGTGCACTATTTTGCCAGTGTTGATTTTATCTTTTCTTATCGCTGAATCAGTGATTTTTACTTCTTTGTTCATATCTAATTACTGTTCTTATTTTATAAAGGCCCGGTATGGCCAGGTGGTTAGGGCGCTTAACTCGCAATCTGAGGGTCGCTGGTTCGAATCCCCATC